TGCTGTCGGGGTCTACGCTGATCTCCTCAATCAGTGCAAGCGTCACACGACGTGGTCAACACAGACCATGCTGGGCATTATTGCTCTGCTCCCCAAGGCCGCCGATGCCGAGCGGCCCGTCTGCAAGTGCGCAACGTTGCATCGGGTGCACTGCAAGGCTCGAGGACGTGACATCGACAGTTGGATTGCCGAGCGAGAGAGCTTTTGGGACACGGCGATTCGAGGGTCCTCTGCCCTGGTCGCCGCTCTCTTGCGTGAGGTGTGCCACGAGTTCACGTCCTATCATGACCTGAAGTCCATTGGATTGCATTGGGGTTTGACTAAATTGTTCGATCCTGTCGATCCTCTTCGCCTGGCTGGATTCGCCCTGAAGATGCAATACCCGGTGCACCTCCTGCACCTGGGGATGATGATGCATGAGGCTCCTCGGATTTGGGAGGTCGGTGGTTTTGTCTCTGATCCGATCTCCACTGGCGTGGGAGCGTTGCCAGGGTGTGCACAATCCATGCCCATGGGTCAAGATCTGCTGATATGACCTGTTTTCACGCCCAGTTCACGCGCCTGTTCAGGTGCGTGCGCATGTGGATGAGATCACTCAGACTACGCAGGAAACTGGGGAGGAGATAGCACATCGCATTGTATCAGCGGACGCTTGGCTGCGTCACCAGCTCGAGACGGCTGGCACCATCATTTCCAGCAAGAGCGCCATGGTCTGCTCCCATATACCTCTGGCGCGCGAGTTTTCCGCGCGGCTCGCCGGCACTGGCATCAGGATTCGCTGCGCTAAGGCTGCGTGCGAGATCTTGGGGTCATGACCACGGCAGGTAGGTGTCGCTGCACCAAGATGGTTAGGCAGCGGCAGTTAGCGGCCCGCAAGAAGGCCCAAAAAGTTGAGTCTTTTTTTCAAAAATCGTGCGGCGAGCTGGGAAGCTCTATAAGCCCGCGGCGTTGTTGGTTGGGTCCTGGGGCCATGGCGTCCTCGGGCTCACGCCGAGCCAGATACAGACCATGCGGGCCCAGGCGGCCACGTGTTCTGGATGGTGGAGTCCTGGGGCCTGTACCTCATCTGCGTTTGGACTGTTGAGCTCTGCCAAGGACGACCCCCTGTTCAGGTTGAGATATGAAGAATTGTCCAGCTTTGCTTCCGCCTGGGGAACTTGTCATCACAAGCCGGGGATGATGATTTTGCAAACTTGGAATTGCATTAAAGCTAAATTTACGAATACGAAGCATCGTTGGCAGGTCGCGAGGGTCCCATAACTGCCACCATCGCTATCATCACGGACCTCCAGCGGGACCCCGTGTCACCAATTGTTTGGAGAGCGGAAGGTCGCAGCCTCCGCGTTGCCGAAGATGATTTCCCCTCTGCGCTGTGGAACCAGTTGCTCGACACTTGTTCTGCACTGTCCTGGCAGAGCGCGTCGATGCACTACATGGGCAAGGGATCCGAGGACGGGGTATATTGCACGGTGGCGAGGAAGGTATCGGGCAAGCTGGAGAAGGATTGGGAGAAAGAGACAGCTGGGTTCCTGCGCAACGTTATCACGGCTGGCTACTGGACGGAGTCTCATCTGGTGGCCGCTGGGTTCCGTTCAATCTCAAACGGCATCTGCCCAAGGTGCGGCTCATCAGAGGAGACGCCAGAGCATCGGGTCTGGCCTTGTGATTGCAATCGTCTCATTCCCGATCAGGTCGTGGAGCGAACCGATCAGCTTCCCGCGTTCGCGCTGAACCAAAGCTGTCGTTACTCTGGTATCGTGGGCTCCCTCCCTTGTTGAAGGCCCCTTGTGGCCATCTCCCTGCCCCTGTGGACCGCACTTGGGAGAGGGGCCACCTTGTTGGAAACCAGAAGATCCGTGGTGGAGCCTGGGGCATTGATGGACCGGGGGAAAGCACGGTATGGACTGGCGACTTCGGAGGCGTGGCTGGGCCATAGTGCACTTAGGTCCTGCTGGTATGTACGAGGCCGTCCTCAGCGGCTCCCCCCCCACCGTGCGCCAGCTCCGCTCCGAGCTGGGCTGTATGCGCTCATCCAGCTCGCACTGCACAGTATTGGAGATTGTCGGGTATATTGTGATTGTCTGGCGGATGTCAATGGAGTGCGTCGGTCATTGGGGCCCAAGAGTAGATCGAGCATGCAGGAACTGTGGGCCCTTTATCGCGGTGTTATGAAGGCCCGAGGTGGCTCGATGAATGTTCTCTGGACCAAGGGACACGCCACGCCAGCTCAAAGCCGAAACATGTTGTTATCCGAAGTTGAATTGTATTTGAAGAGAGCGGCAGATCGGTTTGCGGACGAGGCGGCAACGCGTGTGCAGGTCTCGGACCAAGATGTTGCCGCCACGCGCCAGGCAGATCTGCTCCCTGCTGATGTCTTGAGAAGGCTGCTAGCGTGAAGTCCTGTTTTCAAGTCAGCGTGAGCAGGGTGCCGAGAGCCCTGAGGAGAGAGCGGGGCCAGTCAACTAGCTTTGCCGAGCGTATGCGTAGACTTCGAGGGCATTTCCCCGGCAAGCGGAAGGCAGTCGTTCACTGCTCACAGCGTGCCAGAAGTTGTGGTTGGAGAGGGCCCTTGGGTGAGTTCTGGCCTGACCCACGCAAGCCGCGATGTGTGATCCAGCAGCGTGTCCGTCTGCTGGCGCGTCGCCCTGAGGTGGATCGATTCGCTCCTGACCCTGCTCTCGGGAGCGGCCAAGAGGGGGGTGTCCAAGAGGGGGGGGGGGTAAGTCATGACCGGCGGCATGTGCGCGGCCCAGCGGGGTGGCCAGGGACGTAATAAAATAAAAAGAGGCGCCACGAAATCTGGGGAGATATCATGGCCCACGCCATGATATCCACCCCCCCCCTAATCATCACCCCCCTCTTTTCCGCCCCCGATGCTCCCGACCCCGTCCCGATGACTTGGGCCCGCCTGGGATGTGCGGGAGTGCTCTCGATCACCCGCCGGCCGATCGCTGCGGTCCCGCTCACCACCTTGCGGTGTATCGTGGGGTGCGTTATTGCACAGCGTGCGGTGGCTTCTGCACTGCCATGCCACCGCGCACGCTGAAAAGATGTTGCCAGGCGCCCGCCAAAGCTGGGCGCGAGGTGTTGTCGAGGCTCAGACGGGGCCTCCCCCCGTCGGGAACCAGCTTCCCCGACTTGGGCTGATGTGGACGATGCGGCCTGCCCAGCAGCAGGACCCCGCGCTCGAGAATGAGAGGATCAGAGGACTCCTCCGCCTCCACCTTCTCCTCGGCCTCCTTCTCCTCCTCATCCTCCTCTTCCTTCTTCCTCTCCACCTCCTCACTCCCTCTCTCCTGCCGTGCCTCCCCTTCCTCGTACCTCCTGCTGCTTGGCAACCGCCTCCGACGACAACCACCGCCACGGAGACGGCGACGGCGACGGCGACGAAGACGACGACGACGACGACGGCGACGATGACGACGACGACGACGACGACGACGACGACGACGACGACGACGACGACGACGACGGCGACGACGACGACGACGACGACGACGACGCAGGCAATGCCGAAGGTAGCCGTCGCCCGCCCGAGAGGGAGGAGGGTCTCCTGCAGCGCCTCGGCCCCCCAGCGACCCACGTACAGGCCTGCCGGGGAGGGGAAGGCCACGCCCACCTCCTCCTCCTCCTCATCCTGCCTCCTCCTCCTCCTGCCTCCTCCTCCTCCTCCTCCTCCTCCTCCTCCTCCTCCTCCTGCTCCTCCTCCGCCTCCGCCTCCGCCTCCGCCTCCTCCTCCTCCTCCTCCTCCTCCTCCTCCTCCTCCTCCTCCGCTTCTTCCGCCTCCGCCTCCGACTACGACTCCGATTCCGCCTCCTCCTCCTCCTCCTCCTCCGCCTCCTCATCTTCCCTCCTTCATCCTCCCTGCTCCCTCCTCTGTCCTCATCATAACACCATCGAGACACCATCGAGACACCATCGGCACACCATCTGGACACCATCGGGACACCACTGGACACCATGGGACACCATCGAGACACCATCGAGACACCATCGGCACACCATCTGGACACCATCGGGACACCACTGGACACCATGGGACACCATCGGGACATCATCGGGACACCAGCGGGACACCACCAAGACACATTCGGAACACCGTCGGTACACCGCGGGACACCACGGGACAGGCCTACCACCAAAACACCCCTGGCCACCGCCGGACAACCCGGGGTGGCGGTTTGTTGGGCCAGCGGCGCCCTAGCCAGAGGAGGGTTTGTTCCTCTCGCCCGCCCACGCAGCTTCGCCTCGCCCGCACGCACGACACGAACACGACACCGAGACCGATGTCCCTTCCCTGTGCGCATCCCTCCTAAAACGACGCGAAGATCGGGACAAAATCGGATCGGGATAACTCGAAATCTCTGAGAATCGGCGGGTTTGGAGGATGTATTGGGCGCCGCGGCCGCTCCAGAGCGTTCCGGAACGCTCAAAGAGCGCTCCGGAACGCTCTGGAGCGATTTATCCCGATCCTAGCCCTGTTTTACCTCCGCTCGGCCTCCGCGCCCCCAGGTCGCAGCGAGCTGCCGCGGGCTGCCTGAAGCAGGCCCGGGCCGCCGCGCAAACTCTCGGTGTGCCCGGAGCCAGGAGGCGGAAGAGGAGGGAAGGAAGAGGAGGAGGAGGAGAGCAGGAGGAGGAGGAGGAGGAGGAGGAGGAGGAGGAGGAGGAGGAGGAGGAGGAGGAGGAGGAGGAAGGGAGGAGGAGGAAGGGAGGAGGAAGGGAGGAAGGGAGGAGGGGAAGAAGGGAGGCGGAGAAGGCAGAGAGAAGGAGGAATAGGAAGGAAGGAGGAACCGGAGGAGGTAATAATTAAATGAAGCGAACTGAAGAGAGGACGAGCCGTCCGAGCCCGCAAGCCCGAGGATACAAAAACCAATATGAGCTAGCTCGACCACGACAAGGGAGGAGGAGGAGGAGGAGGAGGAGGAGGAGGAGGAGGAGGAGGAGCGAGGCAGAGGAGGAACATAATTAAGGGAAAAGGGCAAGGTCGGAGGGAGGAGGAGGAGCGAGGCGGAGAAGGAGGGAGGAGAAAGGGGGCAGGCCACACGTCACGCCCTGACCGAGACCACGTTCCTGGCGATCTGCACGCCCTTGCTCTCCTCCCTCGACTTCAGCTGGCCCTCCTTGACAGCCAGGGCGACAGCCGCGTCCTTGACGTCCCTCTCCGTGAGACTGCTGGCGAGCGAGAGGGTCCCGATGCCCTTGGTGGCCTTGTCCCGGACCACTTGGACGATGTACTTCTTGTCCAGGCCTTTGGCTCCCCTCGCGTCGCCTCGCCCATCCTCGGCGGAGCGCAGACGAGGGGGGGCAGGGGCGAGGGGGGCGGCCTTCTACAGCCATCGCGCTGCTATGAGGAACGCCAAGTTCGCCGACGCTCCGGCGCGGTTGAGACGCTGTCGTCGTCGTCGTCGCCGCCAGTCCCACAAGGAAAAGGAATAAACAGAGGAAAGAAACGTCGTACTTAGGTCGATCCCCTCCCCTTTTTCCGCTCACTGACGGGGGGGTTACGGGGGGAGGCGTAGGGGGGGAGTCGGGGGGAGGTAAGGGGAGAGTGAGATCCAGGGTCAAATTACCGCCCCCCCCTCGGAGGGCCTGACGGTCCCGGGTCAGACTACCGCCCCCCCCCCCAAAGGGCCCTGGCGGGCCCCGGGGGGTGGTCCCCCCGTGAACAGGGGGAGCGAGGGGACCACTCCCTCCAGCGGGGTCGCCAGCAGGGATCCAGGGGGTCCCGCCTGTGGTGACGGCGGTGGTCCTGGGTCAGGATACCGACCGCCCCCCTCCCCTCGGGGCTCCCAGGGGTGGCGCCAACGGGGGTCCCGGTGGAGGTCCCGCCTTCAGGGTCGGCGGCACCGGCCGTAAGGCCTCCACAGTAAGGAAGGAGGTCCCGTGTTGGCTCCCGAAGCGCCTGGCTGTACGAGGAGGGCCCGAGGAACAACCCTGGAAAGACCTACAGGGCAGCAAGCCCCATGCGAACCCGAAGCGCTCCGATATTCAGCGTCTTGACTGTAAGGAGGCAGGGGGTCTTCTCAGCAGGGCCCAGAGGCCTCCAAGAAGACCTCTCAGAAGGCTGGGCCAGACATCTGACGACATGATGTGTTCAGCGCACGGCCCCACAAGTCCCGATCCCTGCCGAGGGGCAACCTTCTTGCCCCAGAATCGGCTCTGATGCTCCCAGGGCCCGAGAGCTGGCTCCGGAGGCCGAAATCGAGGAAAAGCACATGGTGTGGGTCACGAAATCGAGGAAAATCAAGGAACCGATGGAAATCTAAGAACTCGAAGCCGACACGTCGGAACGCCTCCTGGGCCTTCGCGGCCTCGCGGGGCCGCCTCCGGGAGCACGGCAGCTCTCCGGCACCCGGCAAGAGCCCGCCCCGGGAGGCCCCCGGGAGGCTCCCGGGAGGCCTCTTCTCTTGGCCTGCTCTGCCACCTTGGGGCCCTCAAACGGGGACTCCACTAACGGGTACTTTGGCCAGTGACCCAGCGAACCCAACCCTTCCCGATGTGGGCAACGCTGCAATGCCAGAAAAAGGCCCTAAAGTGGCAACTTTCGGCAACATTTCAAAGTGCCCGTTAGTAAGTACCCCTTACGGTGCCGTTGAACCACCTTGGGGCCCTCTAGGCCGGGTGGCTGGGTCACCTCCCTTCGCGCGTCGCGCCCCGCGGCGCGCGGCGCGCGACGATCCCCGCACCATCACGCCCTCGCTCCACCAGGCTCGCTCTGACGAAGATCCGCCAGGCACGCCCTCGCTCCACCAAGCACGCCCTCGCTCCACCAGGCTCCACCAGGCTCGCACCATCACGCCATCGCACCAACCGCTCTGACGAAGATCCGCGACGCGTTCGGCCCGACCAGTCCTCGCAATCCCGCAGGCGACCAAGGTCTGGGAGGACACTCTGGACCCTCTTGGGCCGTCTTGCATCGAAGAACACATCATGGCATAACATAAACTCTCGGAGGTCCGCGCAGACTTCTTGGATCGGCGCTGGACCTTCTCCCTGGCGTCGCCAGAGGCGGCGCCTGAGGCGCCGCTAGGGGGGGGCCGCGCCGATCCAGGAAATCCGCGCAAAGCTCCGCGATCTTTTGATTATGCCATGTGTTGTTCCTCGAGTCGGGTGTAGGCCTCCAAGAGGCCCCGCCTTTGCCAGAGGCCCCGCCGCCTTGCCAAAGCCCCGCCGCCTTCGCCCCGAACTCCCTTTCTTGCGCGCCGCCCGCCTCCGCGCCGTGCCTAAGCCAGGCGTTGAGCTGCTCGGCATCGGCGCTGCTCACGACGCTGAAGCCCCTGCCAGGAGAGAGAGAGAGAGAGAGAGAGACAGAGACAGAGACAGAGACAGAGACAGACAGAGAGACAGGGAGAGAGACAAGCTAGGTGCCCTCGCGTCACATCTGACATCCTTTCCCTTTCTCCCATATCTTCCCACTGCGCTTATTGTATCTACATCCGCGGACGCGTGTCAAAGCCGACCTGGAAGTCTAACGAAAAGACCCCATCGTGTTATGCGCAGTCGGGGAAAAAGGGAACTGCGTACATAGGAGGAGGAGGTGGCGAGTGAGTAGGAGGATGAACACGAGGAAAAGGAGTACGATGTGAAAGGATGAGGACGAGGACGAAGGAGGATGTAAAGGAAGGAAAGGAGATAGTAGATGAACGCTTCGGGCGACAAAGACTAAACAAACCAGCATGGAAATGCAGGGGTGAGATCCGAACCCCTAACCAGGAAGCGGCGCTCTCCCACTGCACTCCCGCGCCAACCTCTCCTACCTCACACGCGGCGCAAGTCCAAAGCCAAGGCGACCTCAGCAACTTTTCTGACCCTTGCTTGAAAAACTTGTGCACAGATACGAAAACAAAAAAACAGCGAGAGAGAAAGAGATCTAAGGAAAAAGAAAAACCGTGCACGTCAGAGGTGCCGTGGTGAGATGGTGAAACGATCTACTGTAGCACCAAAGCGCTGGAGACATACACGGCTGGATTCACATGTAGAACATGCGAATGCCACTTGCTGGATACACATGTGAAAGATAATCGTGCATGGCCAAACGACGGCACCAAACTGGAAAAGCATGCAGCCACGTGTGTATCCGGCTCTCGCCCAGGCTGGCCGCGTCATGTGTGCCCACTGTCTCTGCACACTTCTGGCGATTCTGCTGTGCGCCAGGCGGTTCGCTGGCCACTCGTGGACAATGCGCTGCCGATGCCGATGCCGCTGCACCCCAGGGCCGCTCCCGCGAGCGCGCTCCAACGAAGACTCCGAGGTGAGTCTGGCCGTGGCAGCGAAGGCCCGCGCAACAGGCGCAGAGAGGCGAGGCGAGGAAAAGGTACCGGCATCGGCAATAGTTACTTTCTTTTCCTTGGCTCGAGAGGCCCAGAGGGGGGGGCCAAAGTCCGCCCAAAATCACTCCCCCGGACCCCTCCCCAAAATCCATCCTGGCAGAAATTTATCGCGGATCGATATCTAATGGTACCCAAGCTGGTGACGGACCCTGGAAAACCGAAAATCAATGTGAACAAATCCAGCAATACCCCCGAAGAGAAAACGAGGATAGCAATAACGACGGAATACCATCGATATTGGTATGGGTATGCAAATCCTACAAAATCCATTAAAAATCCGTTCACGGGCACTTCCCTGGTTCCCGATGGCCGGTTTCGGAACCGCACCCAACCGTGGCGACCTAATATCCACAAGCTCTCAAACGGCATCGAGAACTGAAAGTGGGGAACAATAGAAAATGTGCCTGACGATGGGGTCCAAGCACGCGCAGCTGTGAATACCGCAATCGTGAATATCCTTTTTCGCCCGGGGCCACGAACCGCGCAACGGGCGCGACGACATCCGTGGCGGGGCACGCAACGCGAACGAAGAGAATAGGTCTGCGCGCGAGGGAGTGAGAGCGGGTGAATCCGAGCGCGAACGAACCTGATTCTGAATGAATTCTGGCGCGCGTGAATCCACGCGCATAAACGTCGACGCCCATGTCGGCGCGCCGCCCGCGCCCGCTTCCTCCCCGCTATTTTTCTGCATTTTTGCCAGCGCCCGCCACTGTCCAAGGCTGTGGGCGCGGCGCCGCGCGGAGCCCCCGCGACGCGCGCCGGTCGCCCCGAAGGGGCGCCGGCGACGCGCGCAGGCCGTCCGCTCCGCGGAGCAGAGAGAGCTAGCTGGCCTGCTGATAGCGGGCAAGGCTGCGGCCGCTGCGCAGAACGACCACGGGGGCGAGCGAGACGCAGGGCAAAGCATAACGCGGAGTTCCCGCGACGCGCGCCGGTCGCCCCGAGAGGGCCCCAGCGACGCGCGCGGGTCGCCAGCGGCGCGAGGCCAAACAGTCAGACCGTCGAGAGACGGCGAGGCTCGGGCGGGCCGCTCCCCAGGTCATGCCTCGCGGATAAACGCGGCGAGGCCCAGCTCCCCGGCGAGGACCGTCGCCTCTCTTCTGCGCCGCTTCGCGCGCGCCGCAAACTGCCCCAGCTGCTTCCGCGGGCTCTCCGGCGGCCCCGCTGAGAAGGACTCGACGCGCGGCGCCCGCGCGAGAAGGAGGTCCTCTCGGCGCACTGCGCGCGAGAGCTGCACGTGGAGCTCCAGCCACCAGTCGTCGCCCTCCTTCTTGCCGTTCCCGACCTCGCGGCGGCCGCAGACCAGGATCACGCCTGGGCGACGTCGGCCGAGGGGGCAGCGCGCTGGGCAGCCGACGGCCCAGGGCGAGAATCCACAGGATCGAGGTCTGGTCGCAGACTGCCCGCGCCCAGCAGGTCTGGCCGTAAACTGCCCTAGAGCGCTGTTCCCTCGCCCCGCTGCCATCGCGCGCGGCGCGCCCCTGGCGCGCCGCCGCGGCGATGGCCCTGCCGCGCGAGAACGGAAGCCCGCTCGGGCGACCTATGAGATGCGGAACACGAGCGGCTCCGACGCGCGAGCCTCGATGAACACCAGCGGGCCCGCGAGGCCCCTCGCGAGGCTCTCGCGCGGCGCTCGAGGTCGCGCGCGAAGGGCGCGCTCGCGCACTCCATGCGCGCCCAGAACCCCAGCGGCAAATGCTTCAGATAGGTCCTCTTCTCCCCGTCTCTCTCGGCTTTCTCGACGTCGCCCCGATCCCGCGGGCCCGCGACGATGTGCACGATCTGCCCCTCGGCATCTTCGACGAGGCCGTTCTCCAGGTCGAGCGCTTCCAGGAGCCGGATCCGCATGCCCACGCGCGCCGGGGGCGCTCCGTGCACACCACTGGTGTTCTTCGGATTGGCGCAGTTCATCATCATGGCGGCGCCCTTCCTGCTCATCGCTGGGGCAGACCTGTCGGCGGCCTGCACGGGGAAGAAGGGTTTCTTCAGAACGTCCGCGCCCCGCAGGGCACGCATGTTCATCCAGCGCGCCACGGTGTCTCAATAGGATCCAATCATATGGCCGTTCTGGAACCTGTCCTCCCCGAGTCTACGATCATCGGGTTTCAGCTGCATGGCAATCCACGTGGCCCCGATGGCCAGCGGGACCTGTTTCTCCGGGTTGCGCAAGAACGCCACCAGGACCTCAAGTGGAGCTCCCCATGAGGGAGGCGGCGACGCCGTGCGAGTTCCGCCACTGGGCCCTTAGGTGGAGCTTCCTATGGGGCCACGAAGCGTTTGACGGGTGCGCCCAAATGGGGCGGGGCCGCTCGGTGGCCAAATTGGGGCGGGGATACCATGCGAATTCCGCCACTGGGACCTTAGGTGGACCTCCCTATGGGGCCACGAAATGTGCGAGGGGTGTGCCAATATGGCGCGGCGCCGTCATGCGAGTTCCGCCACTGGGGCCTCAGGTAGGGCCCCCTATGGGGCTACAAAACATGTGAGAGGCATGCGAAAATGGGGGCGGGGACGCCATGGGAGTTCCACCAGCGGGACCTGGGGTGGAGCCCCCTGTGAGGCCACGAAACGTGTGAGAGGTGCGCCAAAATGCGGCGGCGATGCCATGCGAGTTCCGCCACTGGGACCTTACGTGGAGTTCCTTATGGTCGGGGCCACGAAACGTGTGAGGGATATGCCAAAATGGGGTGGGGATGCCATGCGAGTTCCGCCGCTGCGACCTTCGATGGGGCCCCATTCATAGGACCACGAAGCGTGTGAGGGGTGCGCCAGTATGCGGGGGGGGATGCCATGTTCCCTATGGGGCCACGAGAGCTGTGCCAGTACGGGGCGGCGCCGTCATGCGAGTTCCGCCACCGGGGCCTTAGGTGGAGCTCCCTATGGGGCCAAGAAGCGTGTGAGGGGTGTGCCAATGCGGGGCGGGGATGCCACGCGGGCTCCGCCATTGGGACTTCAGGTGGAGCTCCATATGGGGCCACGAAGCGTGTGGCGGGTGTGCCGCAATGGGGCGGGGATGACATGCGAGCTCCGCCGCAGGGATCTTAGGTGGAGCTCCTTATGGGGCCACGAAGCGTGTGAGGGATGTGCCAATATGGCGGGGGGATGCCACGCGAGCTCCGCCACTGGGCCTTCGGTGGAGCTCCCCGAAGGAGCGTGGCGGGCGTGCCGAAACAGACACATGCGGAAGGCAGAAGCAAAGAGGGGGAGGACGGAAGGGGGCAGCGGGAGGAGAAGGAAGGAGGCGCGAAGCACTGTTTTGCAAAACAAAAACCCAACACCACTGGATGGTTGGGAACAACCACGACAACAACATCCGCAACAACAACAGCAATACTAATACGAACTATCAATGAGACTAATGATACGAATAACAATAACAATGATAGTACTATTACTACGAATAATGATACTAATAACCATAACGGTGGTATTAATACTAACAATAACAATACTAATAATACTACGAATAATACTAATACGAATAATTTTAAAAATGAGGTAACAGTAATAATAGCAAATAACAATATTAATAATAATACTAATGACAATGGTCCTCATAATACTAATAATAATAACGACAACAACAACCACAACAACAATCATGTTAAGACTGTTCGCGTTTATCTGCTCGAGTGTCCGTTTACGCGAACTAAACCCTCGATGCCCGCACTCTTCGTCTTCGATCGTACCCTTCTGGGGGGGTGCACTGCTTTTCCCTGCGGGCCGGGCCCCGACAAGCAGCGAGGCGGCCGTGGACCGGCGGCCTGGCCAGCGGCAGCGCTGATCGGCGGCAACCCGACCCCAAGAGGGGCGGGCAGTGGACCGACCGCGACGGCGACGACGACGACGTCGACGGCGACGACGACGACGACGACGACGAGCGAAAGCGAGCGCGAGAGAGAGAACAACAGCAGGGCCACGAAGGGCACGAAGTAGGCCACGCAGGGCGA